TACTCCTGCCACCCAGCTTCTGGTACATGGCATCGCTACCTCTACTCCTCTGGCCTCTCTTGCCCAAGAACTTACCACCTTCAACTCGGGCTTATCTCTTACCGAACAGCCTAGGTGGCTTACCTCTGATATAGCACGCATCGGGAAACTTGCCTCAACCATTGTTATTTCCATCACTGGACCCAAGACTCCTTCCTTTGTTGGCAAACGCCTTTCTGCCTTTTCCAATACCTACCGTACCGAACGCCGTTTACGCTTCAACAAATACACCCAGTGTGCCAACTGTCACAAGTTTGGCCACCACAGTATCAAATGTATCCTGCCTCCTTCCTGCCGCTGGTGCCTCCTCCCTCACTCTACTGGGGATCACTCCTGCCCCACTGCCACCTGTCGCCTTCGCGGCCGTCCCTGCAGCCATACCACACTCAGGTGTGTGAACTGTGATGGCCCACACGAATCCCACTCGCCTGTTTGCCCTTCTCGCCCCCGTCCAGATACCCAAGAATCTGAGGCTTCGGAGGAACATGAAGAAGAGGTGGACATGGATGACTCTACATAGGTTGGGATACCTATAAGGATATTGCCCTAGGGGTGTCCTGGGTTGGCTATTACGGTGCAAGGGGTGGGCTTTATGCCTGTCTCGACTGATTGCTTAGGGGAGACTGGCTTTATACCGCTCCTCTGTCATGGCCCTCTTGAGGGACAGTGCTGGAACGTTTTCTTGGGTGCCGGGTGGGGTTGATGATGGTGGATTTACTTTGTTATGAATTTTATGAGGATTTTTGGCGCGAGATCGGACTGCCGATGGTAGTGATTTTTTGATTGTGCTGGGATTCCTGTGGCCTGGCTAGGTGAGATGGGTGGGTGCTGGACTGTTGATGGGCTTGTACTTTAGCTTTGGTGTTGGTGCTCGCTCACCAGAGTGGTTAACGGTATGGGGCCGGAGGATCGGTATCTTGTATTTAGTTACCTGTATTTTGCGGGGGTAGCCGGGCCCCAGTCCCATCGGTGGATCCCGGCCGCCGTTAAGCTCCTGTCGGGGGGGCGCTCCATCATAAGCCATATTTGGCGCGACGAGTATAAATAAACTTAGATTCAATTTGGACACCCTTTCTTACGTTCCAAGGATCCACCTACACTCCACGTCGTCCTTGATTTTATCTCACGATAACTTCAGGTTTTGTTTGTGAAGGAATCTTTACCTTCGCTTACACTTATTAACCTCGTAGGGCTTTGTCCTTAGGTTTGTTGCCTTTAGGTTCTTCGTTTCCGTCGTTCGTTCGCTTCGGTCGGTCGCTTCAATGTCTAAGCGAGGTTCTTCCCTTTCGGCGGGCAAGGTCACTGCGGCCTTGTCTTCCCTCTCGGCGTCGGTCGATGAGGCTTCTCTTCTTCGGAAGGAGGTCTCCCGCCTTCGCCACCACGTCTCGGTGCTGTCCCGTCGACTCCACTTGTCGGAACGGGAGCGTGCGGCCTTGGTTGCGGCCAGGCGTTCACCCTCCCCTCCGTTCGGCGGGCCTGGGGACATGACGCCGCCTCCCAGCGGGGGGGTGGCTGAAGAAGAGGAGGTGGCTACGGTGCGGCTGCCCACGGTGGCGTCCTTCCCTTCGGGGATGCAGGCGCCTGAGCCATTCGTGGCTGAGCCCGGGGTGGTGGCTGGCCCTGCCAGTGTGGCGTCATGGGTGGCTGATGATGCGCCCGTGTTCGCGAATTTGTTCGTCGGTTCTTCCCCCCCCCTGGCCGGACTGGAGCTGCCTTTGTCCCCCGTCGATGAAGGATCGATTGATGGGTCTGTCTCGTCAGACGGCTCGGTGGTTACGGTATTGGTGGATGTTGCTTTGGGTCCGGACCTCCCCCCTGGGCACTTTCCCCGTGGGCATTGGCCTAAGGGTGAGAACCCGTATGTGGTGGGGCAGTACAAGACTCGGTTCCCTTCGGTGGTGCCTGTAGGGCGTCGAGCTGTGAGCTCCCCTCCGAGTGTGGGGGTCAGCATGTCTGACTTCCTGGAGTTGAGGTTGCCGGGGCAGCAGGCTAGAAAGCGGGCACTGGTGGAGGAGGAGGGAGTGCGGGGTGGGGTTGGGCATGTTGCTGGCGGGGAGTCTAGTGCTTCTGGTGGTCGGCGGCGCAAACGGCGTTCGGGGAGGGGGCGTGGCCGGGAGTGGGGCGAGGCTTCGGCTTCTGTCTCGAGGGCTATGCTGGATGGTACTTTTGCCGCTCTCCAGGAGTTTACCCCTGAGCAGTTCACTGAGCTGGGGTACTCTCCGGGTGGGTTGGTTGGCGGTGACGGGTGGGATTCTACTGTGGAGGATGATATGGAACTTGCGGGACGGTATTAAGACCGGATTTGATATTTTTTGATTTATTTTATTCTTGTGACGGTCGCGGGCCATAACTACCTTCCCCTCGCTTAGCATGACCAAGGACCTCGGTCGCTCTGTTCCTGTTGGGTTGGGTGTTGGTTTGTCGGTTGGGGCGGGTGTGATCGGGGCTGTTGATGGGCTTGTACTTAGCTTTTGTGTTTGCTCGCTCACGGAGGTGTTGGCTTATGGGGTTCTTTTGGGGTCTCTAATGGGTCTGGATGGTTTGTGTTCGGAGGTTCATGGTCTTGTTCATAGTTGTTACGCGCGCCGGTGTATCGTGGGGACCCCGGCCCCAGGCAGTTGCTTGCGAGTACTGTTCCGGTCCACTTGTGGTCCGCCAGAGGCCTGCCTGCCCTTATGGTAGGTGTATGATGGGATGATCGCTCGTAGCATAAGCCTGTAAGGCGCGCGCGAGTATAAATATAAAATTAGATTGAATTTGGACACCTGTACCTAGGAATTACACTCTCGTCTACTTCGCGTCCTCCGGAACCTCTGAACCCTGACCCTGGACCCCTGACCCCCGAATCTCGTACAACTCGCTTCGGTTGTACTCCCGTACCTAGACCTTGTCCCCGACCCTCTTGCCTGCCCCTGTTGTGGTGTACCTTGGGCTACCCGACTCTCAGACCCTGTCCGTTACATTTACACTCTGGGGGAATTGGGAATTCATTTTCTTCTAGGGAAGCTTGAGAGTAGGCACAAGAGGAGTGGGATTCAGACTGATGTCAGATTTGAATAGATAGAGAAGGTAATTCAATTAGAGAAGGCTGTATGGAAACAATGGGCAATTATGATTTAGTCTCATAATAATAAAGATAAAACAGAAGAGAAATGTTTAGAGAAATCAGAAATAGGGAAATCAACCTTCTGATTAGATTTAAGTTCTAGCAGTTCAGCAGCTAATCTCTGATTGACAAGAGCCTGGAAGGAAGTTCCAAGAGAAATTGTTTGCTGGTAATAGATATAACAATTGGTTAGATTACAGACTTAGTTTAAGAAGTTTGAAAATTTTTCCAACTAGAACAACTTTTCCCCGCAGAAAATTTTTCCAACTAGATAAATTTTTCTCCAAGTAACTGAATGAAAACTTTCACTAACCTCAATTCCATCCCACTGAGCTTCTTTCATTTGAAGGTATTCCTTTCTGATAGCATCCTTCAACTGATTGTACATATTAATAGTAAACCAGCCCAAAGCTGTTCTCTTAGCTCCTGTTGCTTCACATCTGCTCAAGAGATACCACCATAGTTTCTTCTCCCTTGTAGCACTTTCCTCCTTTTTAAACATAATACAAAAATCCTTATTTCTTCCATCATTAATAATCTAATAGTCATTATTGATTTGAATCCTCAGTTGATTATCTGGTCAGTAAAACTATCAGTATTCAGTTCATCCTCTTTTCTTTAAAATCTTAAACTTACAGGCAAATTTGCTTATAACATTTTTAACCATACTAGCTTTTCTGCTTTCAAACTGCCAGTAATGGTCACAATTAGCTTCCCTCTCATACTCCTCAATCTCTGCAATTGAACTGAGTAATAACTTCTTGGATCTAGAAGCCATGATGGAGTATTGAATATGTATAAAGAAGAAAGTGTTAGGAGAATGTGAGAAAATATAGAATGCAAATTCTGTGATTTTATTGAAAGGTGTATTAGGAACATGTTAAATAGAGTGGGCTACCAGCTTATATATCACTCCTTAAAGTTGCAAGCAAATTAACCTGGTTGTCACAAACTGTGACTAAGCAAGGCAGATTTCACATAGCTCGGATTTCCGAGTTATAGGTATGTTGGGATTTCACATGACGCACACTAGTGTGCCATAGGTTATTATGTTTACCTGTTCGTGACTCACTGTTGTGAGTCACACGATGTTATGATTTTCGCACATGACTCACATTTATGAGTCATGGGTTTCACTCAGGTGACGCAGGTTGCGCACTTGAATTGGTTATTATGGTTTTGATTGGCTTAGGCATGTTGCGCAGCGACTAATAGGAGTCGGCTGATGGATTTCACATGACTCATAGTTATGAGTCACAGGGTTTGCGTGACGCATAAGTGTGAGTCACGCCAGGTGAAGAGCTACTATATAAACGGTCACTAGGACCCCTAGTATTAGCTCTTCACACGTTCTTCTTGTTTATTTCCTACCTTAAAGTTATTATCAATAAAACCTACCTTTATGCTCTTTAAGATTTATCTTAAGAAACCCGAGAACTGTCTTTCCTCTCAGAAGAAAAGACTAAGTCCTAAGCGAGGACTAAGAAGAAGAATAAGGAGATAGGCGCGAGTACGATAGTAGTCAAGGGACTCGACTATCGTGTTCGCGTAGGCATAGGCCTAAGAGCTATCACCTTACAGAGAAGTATCGTTACCTGTCGCTAGGTCCTACCCGGTAGGATTCTTAACACTGGTCTTTCTTTACAATATATTTCAGTTGATTGTCATATACTTTTATTCTTATATTTACTTTTTTTACTTTACTGTTATCTACTTATATCCTACTCCTCCCTCCCTAAAATATAATATTCAATAAAGATTTATTCCAGCTAATATTCAATATCCTTCTCCCTACCTACTTACAACCTACAATAATTCTTTGCATACCTTTTCTCTAATATATTCTCCCATCATTATGTCTTCTCAAGACTCTTTTCTGAAAGTACTGGGGAGAGTTGAAAGTATAGAATTAGAACCTGAGGAATTATCAAATACTTCTGTACTCCCTCCAGTTTCTCAAGATCCTTCAGTCCTTATTCTACAAGTCCCAAGAGCAGGATTTCAGAAAATGATAGCTGCAAGAGAGGTATGTTTTAGAGGAAGTTTTATTTTCATTACCATTAACTAATAGTTTCATTCAACTATAGGAGACAGAACAGCAGCAAAACAGAATTGAGATAAGAAAAGAAATAAAGGAGAATGAGTTATCTGGTAAGAAAGCAGTGTTTGAATGTTGAAATGTTGACTCTATATATTGATAAATAATATGCTAGTTATCTCTACAGGTTCTGTTGCTAGAGAAAAAAAGTATCTGGAGCAGAGCAGACTAGAATACCAAAATGCAGCTTTGAAGCTGCAATTATCAGGCAGAAATCAGTACATTGAAAAGATAACTGCACTCTGGGCAGTTCTCTCTGCTTCATATCTTGAGGTAAGCTAGTAATGTTCATCTATTGAATATGTTTGAATTTTTCCCATGGAAAAACTTTCTCAGGGGAAAAGTTTTTTAATCTGCAAAAGTTTTCTCTCTTTTTTATATCCTACCAGTTCTTTAACTTATTCTTTAGATTCCACCTCTAAGATCTCCCAAGCTCTTTCCTGAGGTGTCAGAAAACACTTTATCTCTTGTTATTGAATACCTGTTGAAAATTTCTACCAAGAAGTCTCACCAGCCAGCTTTAAAATCCTTGGATAATAGCTATTTTCTTCAGTGTTCTATTTTAAAGGACAAGGTCAGTGAAGGTACACATTGGACCAGTGATCCTGTTATAGACTCTGCCTTTTCTATTTTGTTTTTCTTTCCTTCTTTCTCTGAAGATCAAGCTTGTCATATGGCCTTTCTTTCTACTCTTATCTCTTCTATTCCTTTCTTTACCAATTCTATTATCTCAGAGCTCATGCCAACTGCTCTTAATAATTTATACTGTTTTAATTACTTTCATCTCTTACACTTTCTTTACTTTCCTTTACTGGTTAATGGGAATCACTGGATTCTTATCAGAGTTGGTATTCAATCTCATATTATTGAAATCTTGAACTCCTTAGGAGATTCCTTGGAGTCTAGTATCTTGAAGGTTTGTCATCTCTTTCCTTACCATATTTACTTTATAATCAACCCCTATAACAGAAAATAAGGTTTTTCTTAAGACAACTCCAACTAGCCTCTTGGACAGAAGCTCAGAGCAAGAATATTGTTTCTCCTCTGACTCCAGCACCTCTTGTTCTAAAGTGGACTATTCAGCAGCCTAAAGTAACTTCTTTTTCCTTGACAGCTTGATTTTTTACTAATTTAAATCACTCTGGACACCCTAGACAAGACAGGAATACTCTAGATTGTGCTTACTTTGTCTCCAAACTACTTTCTTGTTACTCAAAGGAGAGGACTTAAACTATGGTCAGAAAGATATCCCAAGTATAAAAAAACACTTTATTAGTATCTTTCCTGCTAACATGGAATATGTTGCTCTGGATTTGAATCTATAATATTCATGTAATATGATTTTGCTTTTTCTTTCTTTCACCTTTTACACATCTGTAGTTATTTTATTATTTCTCTTTGTTTAAGATGCAAAATTTTTTTCCTTTTTTTTTCTTATTTTTTTCTCAATTATTATTTACAAACAATGTGATCAAGGAAATACATTTAATAAATCTTCTCACATGATGCTTTTATGATATTACTAACCTCACTGTTTTCAACCATCACCTAAGAATATAAACCCACCCTTCTTCCACCATAGGCAAAAATTTCTATCTTTCCTACAGTTCCTTACTCTTTGTTGATTGTTTCTCCTACACCCTATCCTCTAACACAAATAATACCTTACTTGATTCTTTTTTTCATAACCTCTGTCTGATGTCTACCAAGGAATCAACTATCCAACTTCTTTCTACAGAGGATGAACTGAAATCCTATAAAATTGGACCTAACCAGGAGGAATATGAGAATTGGTCAGTGGATAAAGTTCACGGGACTAAGAATACTCTTCTGAAATTTGTTTGCCAGTATTCCTTATTCTAATATCTTCTTATAATATTGCTACTAATATTTTAAAGGTACAGATGATGAGATTAAGACAGTGGTAAAGCCAAGGATAGGAAGTATTTGTGATGGAAAAAATGTAGGGTTTTGTTTAATTCACAGAAGAAATGTGGACTTTACAACAGAGTGGAGGCAGTGGTGGGTTGAGTTTAGCAGGTTTCCTGCCTGTAAGATGAAGGGCAAACCTTTTACCAATATTACTATTAGTGATTATAATTTTATAAAAGAGGGAATCACTAAAGGATGGTTGATGGTTGCAGCAGAGGATTGGGATGGACTTAAGGTATGTTATGTTTTCATATTTCTAAAAAGAAGTACAATCATACAAGGAATTACTAGGTTGGAGATATATCAAACAATTCTTACAGCTAAAAGAATTTTATTCAGAGAAGTTTTCCTTGCTCCTACCCCTGAGAAAATTTTTCAAGAAAATTTTTCCCCCACCCCCCCCTGAGAAAACTTTTCCTACCCCTGACAAAAATTTTCCCAACCTAACTCTTCAATCCTCTTTTCTCACACGAAATCTCTCTTTTTTCTATAGAAATTCACTCCTACTTTACTTCTGTCTCCTTACTTATTCTTGTATTTCTTGCAATTTTAGGAATACATTACTACAGGCATTGATTTAAGAAATCAATCTACTTCTACTCCTCTAGAAGCTTCTTCTTCAATGCCTAATCCAAAAAGGCCCAGAGCTAAAACTACTACAGCTGTTAATCCCGTAAGTTTTTCCTCCTTTTCTATTGCCTCTCCCTGCTACAAACCTTTGCATTTTCTGAACTAATCTGTATCTCAGTCTAAATGATCCAAAACTGCCTCTGAAGCTCTCTCTACTTCACTTGATCTTCAATCTCAAGCCAATCCACTCCCTGATGCTGAGCTGTCCATACCTGATATGCCATTTTCTGAGTTTTTACATGAATCAGACAAGGAGGAGGATGGTAGTATGGGTCAAGAATCTTTACAACCTTCTGGTAACTATAATCTATTTAGAAAAAATACTTACTTTCTGTACATGTTTAAAACTTAACTATTCTCTCTAGATCCAAGCTTCTTGAAACAAGGATATCCACAAACAGCTCCTACTCCTGGTGGTCCGTCTTCTGTTGGTTCAAACAGTCCATTTCTAGCTATCTGTAATCCTCAGCCTTTTACAGAACCTCACTTTTCTCTTCAATAGGTTAGTAAAAATCTCTAACAAGATAATAATTGTCCACTTCTGATGCATGTAATCTATAGTTTGCTGAAGGAGGTTATCCTGATCCTCTTGATCCTTCAAAACCTTGGGCCTTACCAGATCCTTTACCAGAAAATCTGAATCCTGACTCTGATAGTTATGGAAAAGCGGTTAAGGACTTGAAAGAAGTAATAGAGAAGCAGAGTAAGTTTCTGAGTACCTACTATTCAGGATACTTAGTAATTAATTATTTGAATAGGAGCTCTTGCTTGTTATCAGATTGTTTTTTTTTTTTTTTGTTTATCTCATACATTCTTTGTTAATGTACAAGAACCTGCATGGAGCGCTAGCTATGGCAAAAACAAAACCTTAAGTCCAGACGCATTCCTCCGCGCCCCAGGGACCAAAACAACCCCCCCAAGACCCTCTGGTATGGGCCTAACCACATACCCCATCCCGTAAAGGAACAATCGTCCCCTACAGGGAAGGCAGGAGAGAGAAGAAAACCCTGCAGTGTCATCTCAACAAAGGAAAGGATAGGTTAGGAAACCCCCAAGGGCCTGTACAGGCATCCGCGAACGAATGTGTCCACTGTCGGGCCCATAATAGGACCCTAGCGAAATGCCATGACGGGACCGGCCAGCTCACCGCAGGAGATAGTGCAATACCAAGGTAGGCCAACCAGCCGTTCGGCCGGAGGCGGGCCCCAATCGGGGAAGGCGGAAGACAGGCGAGATGTGCCAGCAACCTGTGATAGAGGGGGCAGCCGATACTGCTAAGGAGGGAGGGGGTAGACCCCGGCCGTAAGGAGCCTAGTTGTGGCAAAGGCTGGATGACGCCTGTAGTGATGCCCGAGCTAGGAACGGATTGTAGCGCTGCTGCGAGGGTGGCAAAAGTGAGAGGAGCACCAGGACCCCCTGGTGCAGGGGGAGGGTGAGAGGAGCAGGCCGGAGCACTACCTCCTCAGTGGTGTTTAGGCCTGAGGGCCTAGGAAGTAGGGTGCCAGCAGATCCAGGTAGTAGGGTACCAGCCAATCCCGAAGGAGAGGAGAGGAAGAGGGCAAGGCAGACGAAGATCAGGCCAAACGATACGCTGGGGGGCTGCAAATGGGGTCACAGGAGTAGCTGGTATTTTACCGCGTCACTCACGTAGTGCCTTGTTCTGGGAGAGATAGCGTCACTGTGGTGGAAGGTATCCCACCACCTGCTACTCCCAATAGCCCAGAGGACCACCAGCCCATCTGACCATCCGACCATCACCCATCCCCCAAAGCCGACCGTGCAGATACTAAGCGAGGTGTCGCAAAAGCGGAGTAGAGAGGAGAGAGGCCTCACGATGAGACACCCAGGGCGGGGAGAGGACCCCCATCTGGCAGAAGCGAGATGCCAGATGAAGGAGAGGATGGAAAAGGAGCCCTGATAGGCAGAAGAATGAAAAGCATCAGCCTGCACCCCCCGCAGGGGTGGTGCAAGGCTAGGAAAAAGTGGTGATAGTTTCTCGGTGTTGAGTCGTTGCTGATTAGGAAATATTTTTCAACGACCGGAGTTGTAGCGGAGACGGAGGATGCTTGCTTGTTATCAGAGACAGCTGGAACTTTCTATCTACTTAAAAAGCTAAGGTCTTAAACTGGTTGAGCAAGATGCTGTAGTAGTTGGTCCTGATGAAGTTGTTGTTCCTGAGGCTCAGTATCAGCAGTTAAAGAAAGATTCCAAGGCTATGGGAAAAGAGGTCAGAAAGCTGCTTGCAGAGAATACAAAACTAAAGCAGGAGAAGGAACAATGGACTGAAAATGAGAAGATTTGTGAAGAAAAGAAGGAGAAGAAAAAAGGGGAAATGGCAGACCTAACTGCAAGATTTTTAGGCATGATAGAGGACTTAGAAGGGATTAGACTTTCAAATTATCTCTTAATGTTGTTAATATTTACTGTTCTTGATTATTTAAATATTTTGAAAAATTTTTAAAGTAGAGGAAAATTGTTTAGAAAAGAAACTTGGATTAAAAGAAGAAATTTAATAGTAGAAAATTTTTTCTCGGGGGTGGGAATAATTTCCTTGAAAAATGATTGCAGGGATGTGAAAAATTTTCGTGAAAATGCTTTGCAGGGGTAGAAAAAATTTTCTACCTAAATTTTCTCAGGGGTAGGAAAAGTTTTCTAGAAAGATTTTCTCAGGGGTGGGAAAAATTTTCTAGAAAAATTTTCTCAGGGGTAGGAAAGGTTTTTCTCAGAGTTGGGAGAAATTTCTAAAAATCTTTTATAAAAAATTCAATCAATCCAGTACAAACATATGACTCTTAAAGAATGCTACCTATGACATCTCCTTTTCTGATATTTTTCCAACACTTGTAAGCCTTGCAATTCTTCCATAAACAACTCACCTGATGATTCATACCTATCTGGTGTTGGACTGTAATAGTCAATACTCCACTTATCCCACTTGTCCGAACTAGAGCCTTTTTCTGGTGGAGTTCTCAATCCTGAACTCATTCCCCAAGAGGCATGCTGAAGTAGAACCCAATAGATCTAAGATTCCTGTCCTTGAAGTATCTTCTTTTGTAGGAAGGAATGCTTTGCTGGTGATGGTAGAAGAAAATTACTTCTTGCAATCTGTGTTTGAACCAGAAGATACTCCCAACAGTGTGCTGTCTCAGGATCACAGAGAGCTACAATCATAGAATCGCATTTCTGGAAATAGAGTCTATAACTCTTATCCTTCCATGCCTTCATAACTTCCTGCTTTTCCCACTTGTCTTCAGAATGAAATAAGATCTCCCATCTGTCCTGAAGACTAAGTTTGTGCTTATTAGAATACCTGATTCTAGTAAATCTGCAGGGTGCAAAGCTGAGAATATTCTCATAGTCCAGAGCCAGTTGCCTACTAAGAGCCAGTTCTCTCTTGATCTCTGCATCTTCCTTCCACTCAGAATCACAAAACTTAAACAGTGCTGTCCAAATATCTGTTGCAAATCTCTGAATCATTATTGTTCCTAGAAATGCAAGAATCTTGTAGGTTTCCTTACTGGAAGGGTCTTGAATCTTCTTCAACACCTCTCCAAACCATGCCAACACCTCCCATTGTAACTTCTGCTCCAGTAAATGTTTGGTCTTGTGTAGGGCAGTAGGATGGATT